TGTACTTGTCATGTGACACATCACCTGACCCATGCTACAACTATAAGAAGGTTCAGGATCCTCTAGAGGTTTGGAAAATGCACAGTGGTAAGAAGCAAAAACTGGCAACCATTCAGGCTCTATTGCAGTGATTCCTGTTTTAAATAGAAAGCTTATGAATACCAGTTCCATGTAACTACAGTATATCAAAATAGATTGGTAATATATGGAAGAAAGTATGAAGTGCTGTACAGCCCAAGTAAAAATGTAAAATGACAAAAAATAATACAGTGGACCTTCAGATATCCGGATGCCAGATATCTGGATGTTTCAGATTTTGGAGGATTTTTCTTGAAAAGTGAATTTTTTAACTTTATTTTGTCCCATTTAAATGGAATTCCACATTACAAATCCGAATGGTCTTTTTCGCTACAAAATGAAATTTTACATTAAAATTTATTCATTCATCCAGACGATAACTTTTTTTTATTGATCTGTCAACTCTGCTAAAATTTCTTGATTTGGGTATTAAATGCTGTAAAAACACTGGCCTGAATGTTTGTTTTAAAAGATCATCACCTGTGACCTGTGATTTATGGCTAATGGCAATGCAGGTAGATAGGTACGCATGAGACGCTTCTCAAACATGTATTTGAAAAGTGCGCATTTTAGTTAGGGGAAAATAAGTCGAAATTTTTTAGTACTCAGCAAAATTATTTTTTTTTCCAACTGAGTTAAAATACATTCATACCATGGTTTTGTGTACTGTATTGCTACTTACAGATATTACATCAGGATTTTTTTATGCACAGTATTTTAACAAGTATTGAGTGGTACTAACATTTATTAACATATTAAACATTATAACATATTGATATAAAGCAACATTCTTTACTCTGTTATTATTGCCAATGGTATGAGAGACTATTTAACTAAAATCAAGACAATTCAGGTATCTGGACACTTCACATATATCCATACAAAGTGACTGAAAACCAACGTGTCTGGATAAATGAGGCTTCATTGTATCTAAATTTAGGCCTTTCAACTGCTGCAAGGGTTCCATGTTAAGAATGATAACTCATTATCAGAACTTGTTTAGAGCAGGTCATTGTTTTTAAGCAAGTCAGTTTTTGGCATATCCCAAGCGTTAAAATTCCTTGTTTATATACCATGTAGTTACGGACACTGTTTGATTACATATAAGTAGAATTTTTAATTAAAGTCTAAAGTGAAATCTAACCCCTTCCAAATTTTAACTTGATTAAATTTTTATACTTGGGTATTCTTCTTTGTGTTTACATTTACTTGAAGAAATATAATATATATTTATATAGGAAGCAAAAATATGCACACACAAAAATACGACATTTTATTTTTTTCTTCTTCATTTCAAGCCCAGTGGGGATCCAGGTTAGAATAGGTCCTCAGTACCCCCTTGCTTGTCGTAAAAGGCGACTAAATGGGACGGTCCTTCAGATGAGACCGTATAAACCGAGGCCCCGTGTCACAGCAGGTGTGGCACGATAAAGATCCCTCCCTGCTCAAAGGCTGTAAGTGCCTAGCATAGGCCTAAATTTGCAGCCCTTCAATGGTGACGTCTCCATATCAGTGAAATATTCTGGAGAGGGATGTTAAACAGTATACAATCAATCAATCAATCTTCATTTCAACATCAAAGAGAGTTAAAAAAAATCTTGATTAAAGGGCATGCTTGATTTGTCTATACCTTACTACACCCATTGTAGACAATTTACACCTTATTATTAAGTGAAATTGGGTCTATAAGTGTAGCAAATTCAACATGGACATCAAAATTTCAACCAACCAAGACAATCCTATAGGAACACTCTTACATTTTTTTGGTATTGTGTAATTAGTTAGTATAGAAACAGTTTATAATTAAAAAAAAAAAAATTAAATATTAGGTCAAAGTGACCTTAAAATAGATTGTGACACACCCTCTACCTTAGATTCTTAAATTGGCCAAGTTTGATGATTCTAAGACAGACAGGCTGACAGAGGGACATGAACACTATAACATAATATGTCTTAAGACGGACATATAAAAACTGCTAGACAAACAATCAATGGACACATTACTATCACATAAGCTCTTGCTAAATACACAGTGTTCTTTCTGTACATGTACTAACCTTTCATATAGACTTTTGAGGTTTCTTGTATGTGTTGATACACTATGTACTCTGGTTTTTGTTTGTGTAGCACAGAGAGGGGATGGATGAACACAGGTTCCTCCAGTTCTGTGCACTGAAAAAATATGAAATCATAACAATCCAAATTAGGTTAAATTGCAATTCAAATTACTTCTTCCTAAAATTTAAAACCAACATGTCAATTTAATGTTTATGCTCAAACATCCTTGCTGATGAAATAAAATTTCAATTTAATGTACTCTGTCATATTGTTTTTCAACCTATTTAGATGTTATTTATTAATTTATTGCAAACAATTAAAAAAGCTGAAAAAAATAGGGGGTATTGTTTTTTTAACAAAAAAAACATGTCTCCCCTTCTTCACTGTTACTTAGGAAAGCTGATGGCCATAATATAGTTTACAGTCATGAAAACGTGTCAGCCAAGCCGATCAGTGTAAATTTTTCAGTCAAAATTTAAAACATTTGTGTAAATTTCTCTGAAAATTGGATGAGCCATAATGAAAACTTGCTGTTAATTATTAAAACTTACTTGAATTTAAGGAAATAACCTCAAAGTTTTTGAGAATGATGACCGTAACAAATAAAAAGATGACCCTTATATCATTCTTTTTTCAATGAAGTGGGATAACCATAAAATACCAAATGTAATGTGTTTTCTTTCCTGTTGTAGAAGCATTTATATGGAGTTATTTTGACAAAGATGCAAGTATAATTTTGAAATATTATAGGATTAAATGTTCTTTTTTTCAGAATTTATCGATGTGTAAACTCTGCCTTTTTACTCACAAACTGAATAAAAGTGCAAGGCACTTTTATGTAAAGTTTGTGAGTGAAAAGGCAGAGTTTACACATCGATAAATTCTGAAAAAAGAACGTTTAATTCTTATAATTCCAATTACGAATTTTTAAATTTATTAAAATTATTTCTCTTTGAGGCCGCCATACAATCTGTTATTTTGTACAGCATAGGAATATTTTATGCAGCAAAGAAACGTATACAAGATGAATATCGATAAAATCCAACTTAAATTGTCATTACAATGAATAAATAAACTTATAACAAGAGGCCCAGGGGCCATATCACTCACCTGAGCACATTGGCTAGGAAAAAGCACAAATCAGATCAGAATTGAAAAGTTTACTGAGGAGTGGGGGGATTGAATTCTAATACTACTTGAGAATGCCTCCATATCAATTTCAATACTGCATATAACTTCTTGATAAAGTTCTTGAGAAAAATATTTTTTTTATTTTGTTTGTATATATTACTTTGTAATAATTTGAATTTGACTCCCCATTGTTTCACTTCCTACCCCAAAGGGTACTCATGATTTGAACAAATTTAAATCTTCAATACACAAGAGGCCCACGGGCCTTATAGGTCACCTGAGTATCATGTAACAACTTTCCAGTGATGGTATTTGGTTCGTGTTTTAAGCCAAAAGTTATGAAATTCACAAATTTTGAAAAAGGCACCATTGCTTGTCAAAGGGCAGATTACAAAGCATTAATTTATTTTATTAGTCAAAGTACCCCCCTTGTACCCCTGACCCAGCAGCCCTGAAATTATCTATTTTGAAAGAGGCCCCTTTCTTCATTATAAGGCCAGCATTTTTTTTATGTTTAGGTTTAGTTATGAACATGAGAATAAAAAAGTCCCGAAGGAGAAGGAAATAGAATTTTTTTTTGATAAATCAATTATTAACATTTGTACATTCTTTTTTTATGCTATCCTAATAGGCTCCTTACCACTGGACACATAATGCTTACAAATAGGAAAGTAGAACATTTAATTGCTTATTTCATCATCTGTCAGTTTGGGCCAGTTATATAAATTTTGTGATGTTGATCAAAATATATTTTAAACTAGAGCCGAGCTCATTGCAAAGCAACGAGTAGGTCTTCCGTTGGAGCTATGGACAGGAAGTACTGACCTTGGGTCAAGGTCACTGCACTTTCTTATGTGAACAACCTTTCTTCTCAGTATGAGCCTCCAGTGAATTTTAATTACAAAGTTATGCTTAAACATTTTTTTCTCTGTCAGTGACCTAGATTTTCTAGAAAGACCTTTGATCAGGATCATGACACAACCTCCAATCATAAGTAATCTATGTTTCAAGTAAGAGCATCCAATGATTTTCATTTACTACTTCATAGCATGGGAAAGAAAATATTTTTTTCTGTCAGTGACCTTGATCTTAACAGCATTGGCTCTGTGTCAAGACAAACCTTCAATCTGTAACAACTTTTAGTGATTCAAAATTCATAACTCTGACAGGAATTTTACAATTTTTTTGTCATTGGCCCTGAATTTGTTAAAATGGCCTTATTTTAAGTCATCTGAAACCGGCAGACTATAAACAATTTTTATCAAGTATGAACTTAAACAAAAATTGTCCAAATTGAAATGATACTATTTTCAGAGTCACAATCATAGAAAAATCCTTTTGTCACCATCAATCTCTGTATCAAGTATTAGCAAAAAAATATTCTCGATTACATATAAATGACTGCGACAAAACATTTATTCTTTCTCCAGTGACCTTCAATTTGCCGTAATATTGCCTTGATTCATGACACATCCTAGGATCATTATAGCCTGGCCTTCTGGGAAAAACTTTGAGGGACAGACAGACATCTGGACAGTTAAGCAGACAATTTAATTCCCAACCCATCCACCCTACCCCCTAAAATACTCAATCACTTTGTGGGGGAAACTCTGGTCATGATTTGAAAAGAAAGTAATCTTTATTATATCAGGAAGCTTTCATAAGTATAGTTTCTCATTCTTGCCCAGAGTTTCATAAGAATAATATTTCAAAATGACCCCTTCTTATTTTACTAACCGTTTTCTTCATTATCATCATTTTATATCATCCAAGGTCGCCTGCATAGCGCACTGATTAGAGCGTCTGCTCTATAGTCGCGAAGTAAGGAGTTCATCCTTACATCGTGGGTTCGAATCCCACTGTGGGACGTGGAGGCCTGTTCTTCGGATAAAACCGTATAAAACAAGGCCCCGTGTCGCTTAAGGTGCTGGCACGAAAAAGATCCCCCTTCCCCCGGTCAAAGGCCTTAAGTGCCTATTATAGGATATTTGAAGCTCTCCACTGGCAAGTGCATGATGGCATCTCTATACAGGGATTTATCTAGCTATTTTGTTTTACTACCGTTTTATATGTAAAGGGGAAAAATGAGAGCCGCAGGCTCGATCTGAGCGCTGGAGGCGCGAGTATTCTAGGGGGGTCCGGGGGCATGCCCCCCCGGAAAATTTTTAAATAAATGGAGCAAAATCCTGCATTCTTAGAGCTTCTGAGGGTCATTTGTAGACCTTTACAAAGACCACAAAAACTTACTTTTTAGGCAAAATACTAAATAACACACACACAAAAAATTTAACCAGGTCAGGACTTCATTTAATTTTTTCTCTAAATATCTATCACAAATCAATTCTGTTTTTCATGTTTCACTACTAACATTGTTTTTGTTGTTACTCCATTCTTCCGATTCATAGTGATATAAGCTCCATCTTACTCATCTACACTTTTCTTTTTAACTCTGCAATCGCACGCGTATCTTTCGACATCATGGACTTGGCACATGTTTACCGATCAATATCAAATAAAAGCTTGAATAATATATTCTTTCTTTTAAAAGCGTTTGAATGACTAGGATGGTAAATTAGCTGTAAAACTTCAATCGGACAAAAACGGAAAATTTCAGAACAATGTTTTAAATATTCTCCGTTTAATCGGAGAATTTTCTATCTGAAAAAGGGGAATTTTTGCACCTTTTTCAAGAGGGGAAAGGTACCGTTTACCGGTAGTAAAAACAGCCTTGATAAATCCCTGCTATATTAGTGAAATATTCTTGAGAGGGACGTTAAAACATATCAATCATATCCCTCCCCCCCCCCAAAAAAAAATGATTAAGAATTTTGCCTATGAAATATTTCGGGAGGGTTGTTGAAAGTTTAGGCTACGTACAACTATCAGTCCATTGAATAAGAATATTTATTTCAAACTTTGGGGAAAGGGGGTGGGGTGCATGGGGGAGTTATGGTGTATACGTAATACATTCGAGATTATTATTATTCCGTTAGACAGAAAGGCCAAAGGAGTTGTGATTTGCTGATCATGATCTAAAACACATTGACAAACCCAAACCACATGGTTTTATACACGTCTTTCCATTAATTTATTCATCATTATTTTCCTTGAAGGAGAAATGCATGGATAAAAGATACAAGAAAATTACTGATGTACAATAGCATCCATGCATGGACTTTTAGTACTTACATATTGTGCTTGAAGTTGAATAAAATCAACAAATAAATTTAATTTAAATAAGAAAGGGGGGTTATGTTTAATAAAATAAATTAGACAATAATTGATACAGGGAGACTCTCTGTTAAATACATGAATGTACATGAACAAAATGCCTCTCTCTTGCCTTCTTTCATACATTTATTTTTTTAAACCAGGAAAAGTAATGTGTGTTAGATTTAAGTTCATAATTTTAAAGAAAATACTGAGTTATATATGATAAACGATACAAATGGTTTGACTATGGTGCCGGATATTATTTTAATTGTTTAAATTAGGTTGTAAAGGTGTTTAATTACATAAGTTTTTGATATTCAGTAGCTGCAGATTGTTATATAAGTTCTTAAATTTTCGATTCTGGACATAGGATGTGAGTTTATTACTACTTATATGTACATTGTATAACTTGGTACCAATATTTAATCACAGAACAAAATTACAATGTTAACACACTACCGGGTATACTAATCATTTACGGGATTTGAATAAATTATTTTACAAATTAAGTTCATTGCTTTAAAATCTTGAATTATTTTTCAACTTTACTAGTATCGAACCTGTAATATAAGTATGCATTGTGCAGTACAGAAGCCACTTATGAAGTTTACAAGTGCCGGAGTTAACTATCGATGTTTAATCCATTTCATTGACTATAATTCTATCCTTATGATTTGGAAGATTCTCTTTAAAAGTTAAAAATTGGTATAGACATGGTAAAAATCTGTGATGGAAAAAAAGTGTGTTTGGGAAAATTTGTGTTGAAAACG